CTTCCCTCCCTCCGTCCGGACTGCCCACCTGCCTGCCTGCCTTCCTCCCCTGTGTCACGTTCCCGGGGGTTACAACAGCCGAAGTCCGATAAACCAGTCCAGGGTCAAGAATACCAAGAATGCAAAGCCAATGTCCATAAATCAACTCACAGAAGGAAGTCCAGCGTCAAAGTCCAGAATCCGATACACAGCGTAGTCCAGGGGCAGAGTCCAGAGTTCAGAATCAGGAACACGGTTCAAGAAGCGTGGATGCAAGCCAAGGTTTTGACTCTTTGCTTCCACAGAATTTCTGGCTTCACTGGGAGCTGTTTTATAGTAAAACAGCTCCTTGAGCTGCTGGAAAGCTTTCTATCCTGCTAATACTCAGGACTAGATGAACGTAGGTTTCTGTGGACAGCCTTTGAGCGATCCTCTGATCTTCTTGTTCTAAGTTTTTCCCGAAGCCTGGCCCGAAGCTTGTCGGCTGTGGAAGGAGAATCTGGAAGCGGTTCAGGTGTTTCTGAACTCACAGCATTCTCTTCAGCCTCGGTTAACCCTTCTGGTTCCAGGTCTTCGGATGCACTCATGACACCCTGCCAGAGTGGCCCCACGTCACTCACTCAGCGGCGACTCCTTCCTGGCCCAACTGAAGTGCACCCGGTGTACAAGACGACCCCCCCCCACTTGGAGGCATGTTCTTGAGGCCAAAAAAGTCATCTTGTACACCGGCAAATACGATAACAATTTTTTCCCTTTAGAGTTGGTTCCCTATCTTTAGTTCCCCCAGATCTGTGTTTAGAAGTCACACCACTAAGCTTTTCCACAAAAGCTCTACCAGGTCACCCACTTCTTCACAAAGAAGCAGGCGTTTCCTCCCAAGAAGCAGGCGTCTTTTAATTTCGTGGCTGCTGTCACCATCTGCAGTGATCATGGAGCCCAAGAAAGTAAAATCTCTCACTGCCTCCATATCTTCCCCTTCTGTTTCCCAGGTGGTGATGGGACCAGTGGCCATAATCCTTTTTTGATGTTTAGCTTCAGACCATTTTGCGCTCTCCTCTTTCACCCTCATTAAGAGGTTCTTTAATTCCTCCTCACTTTCTGCCATCAGAGTAGTATCATCTGCATATCTGAGGATGCCGATATTTCTTCTGGCAATCTTAATTCCAGTTTAGGATTCATCCTGTCCTGCCTTTCGCATTATGTATTCTGCATATAAGTTAAATAACAATATACAGCCTTGTCGTACTCCTTTCCCAATTTTGAAACCAATCAGTTGTTCCATATCCAGTTCTAACTGTTGCTTCCTGTCCCACATATAGATTTCTCAGGAGATAGATAAATGGGAGTGCTTGACCACCTTAAGTGCCATCTATAAAACATTTTGAGGATATTTTCTCTTAAGTTTACTGGCTTAATCATTTTATAACACTCTTTCCACATAATTGTCGAATTATCAATATCAATTTATAACCAAAGTTACTTGCTCATTTTATCATCATCTCCTTTATCCTCTCATCCTCCAGATCAAATTCCAATAACATATGTATACATTTTCTTTATTATTTTCTCATCAAGGTAAATCCACACTTTGAGAGGTTTGATGATGGGGGCACTGGTGATCAGACTACAGGCTACTGGGTGGAGACAAAACAGAAGGCATCTGAGATGACTGCCCTGCTGCCACCAGTCGAGGGATAGTAATGCTTGGTTGAACTGTGATCATGCCAAACCTCTGTAAGAGCACTCAAATAAGCCATGTTAAGTTCCACGTCACAAGGATAGTTAAAAAATACTTGTGTCCATAAATATCAAATATTTTTCTAATATGAAATTAATGTTCTACCATACAAAAAGGAGCTATCACTGTACATGCCACATCATATGCTGCAACATAACTGTGTGCATTACCTCATGAACACTTAGCTGAAGTGGCCAGTTTTCTTCTATAAATATGTTAAATTATCTGCCATCAAGTTGGAACTGATTACAGTGACCCTAACAAGGCTCTCCAGATGAGTGAAATATTTGAATGTTTTACTAGTTCACTCACATCCTCTGTGAGATTCCATAGCCAGGCAGGCATTTAAACTAAGATTTACTGAATCCTAATTTATCACTCCATCCACTATAACACACTGACTACCACCTAAAATGATGTAATGGTATTCAGTATGCAGTGGAGTCTCGACTTAAGTACGGCTCCACTTACGTACTTTTTGACGTACGTACTTCTCCGGCCACAAAGTTTCACTTCAACTTGCAGCCAGAGAATCGACCTACGGATCAGAAGAGGGAGGCAGGGAAAGTGCCAGATTCAAATTTGGTGCTTTCCCTGCCTCTCCTTTCCAGTCTGTAGGCTGCCGATCTGCCTCCGGATGCTTTCCAGGGCTTCTCCACCGCCATGGGAGGCATCTTGAAGGTTTTCCCCCAGCTGCCCATAGTGCCTCTGAAGCACAATCGGCGGCGGCAGCGGACCTCCGAAAGGCCTCCCATGGTGGCGGAGAAGCCCTGGAAGGCATCCGGAGGTCCCCCGCTGCCACTGGGAGCCAAGTGGCAGCAGCGGCGGGGGAAGTCCAGGAGTCCGAGCATGGCCAGCATCGCCCGGCGTGGCTCAGCTCCCAGCAGTGGCGGCAGCGGGGGACCTCTGAAGGCCCTCCCTGCCGCCATCTGAGGCCTCTCAGAGGTCCCCACCACCACTGATAGTGCTTCAGAGGCACTATCAGCGACAGCGGGGGACCTCCAAGAGGCCTCCCATGGCAGCGGGGAAGGCCTCCGGAGGTTCCCCCCCACCGACGCAGGCTTTCCCAGGGGAGTAGACCGGGTCTACTGGGGGAAGTCCTCCCCTGGTAGGCCCCGGTCCATGGCTACACAGGCTAACTTTTCTCCCAAGGAGGTAAAACAGGGAACTAAATTCCCAATCTCTGGTTCTGCAGACAGAAACGTAGCTCATTCAGGCAGTGATAATTGTATAGGCCACTCTAGTTTTTTATTCCACTCAATTCTGACTTAGCTGACACTGGATTCTGTGCTTTCTATTGAACATACAACTGTTGGTTTCAGTTTCTATGAGGATGGAATTAATATCTCCAGTGCAACAGGAGTGGCTGAAATGCTAAAAACTGTTAGCAGTGCAGTACTTGATGAGGAACTCAGCAGGAAGACAGAAGCCTGCACAGAATAAAATTCAGCTCAGTCTTTTGCTGCCCAGGATTAAGTAAGACTTAGCTCACTGGGGGCAAATCTGTATTTTTCAAAATGAGTATAATGGCACACTCTATGTAGGGCTTCCAATAGTCGCAATATTATCAACTTATTTTAAAAAATGGGTAAGATTTGTCATTGTTTTCTATGGGGGGGAAGGTATCACACCTCTTTTCACTTATGTCAAAACTTCAACTGTTGTAAAAAGAAAGGGCATTCAGCCTTCTCAGTTGTCATCTGTATCATAAGGCCTTCTTAGAAATTCAGGAGGAAGCACCACTTTGAGCAATATTGTAGTGTCACTTGAACCTCTGTACAAATGAGACACCCTAGGATTAAAGCACATCCATTCTCAAATATGGTACACTCCAACATTGACGGCTACGTGAGAGGCCAGGTTCTCATTGACCAACCAACTGAATTCTGACCCACACTCTCGTGCTGAGTTTATGCTTGCAATGAAAGTTGGATGTTACAGTCAGAAGCACACTCATACATAACACAGCAAAACCTAAAGGGCCCAACTTGATTTTTAATATCCACTTTTAATGTGAACCCATTCTGGACATTCAGCTAAATGAGGACCCACAGCTGCATGGCAGTACTTGCAGCTGAAAGTACTGTAACAACTTCCCGACTCCTATAAAAGGATGATGTGCACAAGTTCTGGAGACTGTTCAGAGAGGGTTAGGCTTCTTCATTAACTGCAGTTTTATCAGCTATTAACTGCAAAGGATATCAGATGTTAATACCCTGAAACTGTTATCAGAGTGGGTTAGGGAGCACTAAAATTTATTCTATATATTTAGGTATGTTTTTCAAAATATTCACATCACCTTTGCCACTATTTACTAGCTGATTAAAATAAAAATCAGTCCTTGTATCAAATACTAAAAATTAACATTCAGTTGTTATTTATCAACTGTATTTATTTCACCATCACTAGTACTTGTTAAATATTTGGCGTGCTGCTGCACAACAATGAAACAGCTATTAAAAATTCACTGTGATTTTAAAAATGTAACAGACAAGAGTAAAGAAAATTATGTAAAAAACACACAGTACTCAGAAGTGGTTTTGTATTTTTATAAAATCTGCAAAGATACCACAAATTATGCACACTAAAACCTAAATATGCACACATTCCACTCAAATAAATGAAAGTAAATATATTTCTTTTATATACAGTTTAAATCCAAATTTACAATTGCATCATTTTCATGTGGGAAGGCGCACAGGTTGGACACAAATTTGAGATGTGTAAGTTGAGCACACTGAAAAGATGCTTTATAAAACATGTAAAATCAATTCCTAGTTTCTTTGCAAAATAAAGCAGTCCGAAAAGGCTAGTTTGTGTGTAGAAATTAATTACTGGGAAATCCACATGTTCCTATACAAATATGCACATATATTCATAATTGTTCTATTCAGATTAGCAGGTAATGTTACAGAAAAAAAATACAATAGATTTCACCTATACCCATCACAAAATTTAATTAAACTAAATGCTGGATCACTTAGATTATTTCCCAGTAATAAGGCATCAAACAGTGTTATGCTTTATTTGTAGAAAGTAACCTGAAGACTGGTTGCAGTGTACAATAAAAAATGCACCTATTTGTACAAACTCCTTCCCCTTTAAGGAAGGAGGCCTTCCACTTCCTTATTCTAAACATTTTACATCACAATAACAGAAACTAGTAGAAAATGACAGGCGATGTATACTGTAACTTCCACCTCCCAATATAACTAATACATATTTGACTCAATGAATTACATGTAAGGAAGTGTAAATTTTGGCCAATTTAAGTTCAATTGGTCTAAGCAGTGCATATAATTTTAATTTTATTAAAATATATTTTAATATCAACATCTTTTTGAATCAGTACTATGTTTTTTCTAATTCTCCTTTAAATAAAAAGCAGTCAAATATCACTATATAATAAATGTTTTAAATAATCTCTCATTGAAATACAAAAATTAAACAAGACAATACAAATATATCTGCTCACTAGAGAATGATTTTATATTTGAGCATAAATTTAGATATAAGATTTATCAGGCTTATGACTGTATAGTGATACCCCTTTCCCTCAGTCATATATTTCCACTTAAATACAAGAACTTCCGTAAAAGAAAGCACTGCTTTAAAGCAAACAGAATGATACCTAACTCAAAACCCAACCCAAAATGACAGAAACCTGACAGAGAAAAACCAGAAAGCAAAACTGATTTTAGTACCCACAACATATGCACAACCTACACAGCATGGAGTGCACATGCACTGTTAAAAACAAGACAGTGACAGTGATATATGCATTTACCAACTGAAATAATTTCTTTCCTTTAAAAAATGTCATCTCTTTCAGTTCATATAAGGAGAAATGATGGTGGAAAACTTGAATGCAGAAAAGCACTTTCTAAGTTACATAAGTATACCATAACTTCTTTAAGAAGCATGAGCTGGGCTGTAAGGCATCCCAAAGTATTTTTGCATATAGTACTGGAATGCAGCTTCTGTAAACAAGGACAGCAACACTAAAACTTCCTGATGTCCAAAACCCAGTATAATTAATCAAGGGAAAGTATTTGGACTTAATCTTGTGAAAAAGCAAAACCAATTCTTTGTTCTCCTATACATTTGTTTTAATCAAGCTTTCAAAATAGCTCTCCCTGAAGATCCTTGAGTTAAATAATGATATTAGGAGCTGATCTCAAGGTTTAAGCTTAATTAAAGTCTCCTGGTCAGGGATATCACTTCTTGATTTTCTGGCAGTACTGTTCTGGTATATGCTGTCATTCAACTCCTGTACAGTATCTGCAGTGGAAAAGTTTATTGGGACCCATGCCTGAGAAGTAGATGTGGAATTACCAGCAAGGATCTTGGAAGAATCAGATAGATGTTTATCACCTTCCTCACCAGTTGAGTGTCTCTTTCTCCCAGATTCCTCACTAATAGGAGGCTGAAAGAGAATGAACATTTTTATAAACTGTTTTGGATAGATTATGATCTCATTTCTAACGGTCTCAATGTTTCAGTTATTTAAAAAGACTGTAATGCCTATACCGGTGGTCCCCAACCTTTTCCCAAGGTTGGTTGGGGGTGGTGGTACGCTCACATAGGTGTGGCGCACCCACAGGGGGTTGGAGCGCCCCCCCGTGCATGCACTCGCACACATGCGCATGACACACTCACGTGCATCAGTGCGGCAGTGCTTGCAGGGGAGGCGCTCGTGGGGGGGAAAGATCTGTGTCCACAACCCAGTCCTGCCTAGGCCACGGACCACTGCTCTGTCACGGACCGGGGATGTTTCAGTTATTTAAAAAGACTGTAATGCCTATACCGGTGGTCCCCAACCTTTTCCCAAGGTTGGTTGGGGGTGGTGGTACGCTCACATAGGTGTGGCGCACCCACAGGGGGTTGGAGCGCCCCCCGTGCATGCACTCGCACACATGCGCATGACACACTCACATGCATCAGTGCTTGCAGGGGAGGCGCTCGTGGGGGGGAAAGATCTGTGTCCACAACCCAGTCCTGCCTAGGCCACGGACCACTGCTCTGTCACGGACCGGGGATTGGGTACCTCTGGCCTATACAATCTAATTGTAACAAAATACCAGTAATTCTTTCTTGTAAAAGTTACTCAATGCAACACTTTGCATTTCTGAAGTCTGCTTAAACTCCAGTAGCCACTATGTGTTATCTAAGATATCCATACAAATAGCTTGCTCATTTATTCACTATAGGTATATTAGAAATATGAGAAACTAAAATGTTTACTAACCATATTAGTCAAAAATCTATTAATAACAGGTAGATGAAACATATAAGTTTAATTTAGTTTGCAAAGTTTAAGCTTTTGAGCGAGAAGCTACTAAGTAATACCTTCGTTGTCGGGAGCAAAAAAGAGGATCCGTAATAATTGTAAAGTTAAACACAAACCACAAAATCTATTTGCAATTTACGTTGGAAAATCCTCATTTGTAAATAGTAATTTAATTTGGTAAAGTAATTGTAATTTGGTGAATGATTTGAGATTTGTGATTGACTTATTCATTTATTCATACACACACACGCACATACATACATACATTTATAGCCTGCCCTATTTCATAGGATCTTAGGGAGGGCTATAAAAATGTATAAAACAATTTTAAAACATAAGATATTTAGAACAATTTGCAGTCAAAGAGCACAAAATAATTAAAATGTTAATGCATTAAAACCATTGGGTTAAAATTTATTCAAGCCACAATCTTCAATCTGAAAGGCTCTAATAAATATGCCTTGACTTGGTGCCGAAATGCTAATATTTGTGTCAATCAGGGAAGGCATCCCACAGTTGAGATGCAATAGAAGAAAAAACTTTCCCCTATATCTCCATGTAATGAACTGTTTTCAATGGTGGGACAGAGGATGGCTTCCCCAGCAGATTGTATTGATGGACAAAGTCCCAAGCTGTTTAGGGCTTTATAAGTTGTTGTTGACACCTTGTCTACCTTGGACTGGAAACGCATTGGCAACCAGTGCAAATCCTTCTGAACTGATGTCATGTGAGCTCTGCAAGATCTTCCTGTTAGCAGTCTAGCTGCTGCACATGGCACCTGCTACAGCATCCATGTCATCTTCAAGAGTAGCTCCATGTACAGTGCACTGTAGTAGTATACAGTATGTGGGATGTTACAAGGGGGTGCTGATAAGTATTGAGCCTTTCCCAGAAAAAATTGAGCTAGGAAGCTATAAATTGCAGGGTGTATTGGCCAACTGCATTCAATGGTGCAAAAATCAATTACCTATGATTTTAACTTATCTTTCATGTTCAGGTCCAAAGTGAACATGTCAGCACCTCCAGAAAAGTTCAATGTGGAAGAGCATAGGACCACAATCAAGTTCCTGTTTCTCCAAGGGAAAGGTGCAAAGCAGATCCACGAGGAAATGTCACAAACTATGGGCGACAGTGGCCCTTCATATGCAACAGTTAACCGTTGGGTTGTCAATTTTAAAACTGGCCATTTCGGTGTTGAAAGTGACAAACCCAGTGGAAGGCCTGTTTCTGTCCCTGTGCCTGCAAAATGTGAAAGCCATCCATAACATGATCATGGAGGACCGCCAAATATCAGCCAAACTTTTGACAACCAAACAAAAGAGGAAACGTGTGGAGTCATTGGTGGCTGTTTTGGAACATTTTGCAAGAAATGAGTCAGATTTCCTGGGCAAACTGGTAACTGGTGATGAGACATGGATCTACTCTTACGGTCCTGAGACAAATGAATAGTCTAAGAAATGGAGGCACGGTGGTTCCCCCAGGTCAAAGAAGTTCCGAGTGCAAAGGTCGGTGCAGAAGCAAACGGCAACAGTTTTTTGGGATAAGAAGGGAATCCTGCTGGTGGATTATCTCCAGCAGGGTTCAGCCATCAATGCAAAATATTACTGTGCTTTATTGACAAAGCTGAGGTGACACATCAAGGAAAAACGTTGAGTAAAGCTCTCCAAAGGTGTCATCCTGTTGCATGACAACGCCTCGTCACATACTGCAGGTGAAACAATGGCAAACCTGACTTATTTAAGCTTTCAAGTGATGCCCCATCCACTCTATTCTCCTGACCTGGTTCCTTCTGACTATTATCTTCTGACTATTATCCGCCAATCAGCTGGTTTAAATCGTTGTTTTGCAAACAACCAGTTCGCGAAGCAGGGACCTAATTGTCGTTAAACGAAAAAACCCCATAGGAAACATCAAAAAAGGCATCATCAAGCGATTTCGTCATTTAACGGGGTAAGCATCTAGCGGGGCACCACTGTACAGCCATATTTTTGTAGCTCTGATGGTGTATCCTGAAAACAAAGAACTAAAGAATTTCATAGAAAAAAAGTATAATAAAAGTGCACCATGGTCACAAACTGTGGCCTAGCATTTATTAGACTAATGAGATTATGCAAATATTGATCTCAGATAGCAGAATCAGCCTGCACATCCATGTAGATCCACTGACAGCTTTCAGTGTTGCAGAGACTGCCTAAAAGTCAACCATATAAGACAGTCTACGAGTCACTGCCAAATGCAGAAACAGGTATTTTGACTATTTTATCTTAATTTGGAGGTTGTGCTGTTTAAATCAGTTATATCAACAAATGATATTTTTTAGTTTAGCAAGAATTGCTCCAGAGATATTGAATACTTACATCAACCCTAAAGTCTTCCAGTCTTTTAAAATTGCAAAGATATTCTTGAAGCTTTGGATCAATAGGTGGAGTTTTTGACTGTGAATACTTTAGATAAGCCCAAAATTTTTCGAGTCCGTACAGCTGACCTAATAAAGAGAACATGTTGAGATGTATACAACAATTAAGCATGACATCAAGCAATACCGTGACTAATTGTCATGAACAAGTCGTTACCAGATTCATAATCTTTCTTTGTTTCTTCTTGGAAATCTTTGAAGATTTCTTGCCTGAATTTTTTTTCCAGACCATAGCTGTAAAACCGGAACAAACATTCCAGACCATATCTGCAGAACAGTCAATAAGGGATAAGAGTTCAGAAAAACACCACAAGACCTTTTATGCAAAATCTATTGTACAATTTTAAATCTGTATAAGGATCAGCCCCGGAAATGAGACCAGCCTATTTAGCCTCCAAAACTTTCATAATGCAGCCACTTCTGATGCTACTGATTCTATTTCTGCATCTTACAATATTTCAGCTGTAGCTGAACAGACATGACCTCTTGAAGAAGCCCAGGGCCTGCTCTAAGATGTACAGTACTGCTGAATATTGACTATATTCCTATTCAAATCTGACGTACCTAAACAGAAAACTGTCAAGAGATTCACCATGGATTTTTATTTTCAAAAGAGGAAGCCTCTAAAAAAGGGAAAAGAATTGGCTAGAGGTCAATTTCTTCAGTAAACTTGGAGATTATTTGTAAACACTGTAACCAAAGTTCACATGACATGTTTACCTCAGACTAGAAAAATTATAAAACCAAAAGGATGCCAGAGTAGTTAATGAGCAGACACAGCACAAAATTTATTTCATTTAAAAGCACAGGACACTGTCAAATTAGAAAAATGAAAGAGCACAAATTCTGGCAAAACTAATGTAAACTGATGGTAGGACATGTTGGCCAAAATCCTATTTTGCATTTATGCTGGCATAATTCAAAGTTGCACAAGCAAATTTTACGCCAAAGTGGAAGTCATTCCAAAAAGCAGTTTTATGAGCACACGCAATGAACAGTGCAATCAGTCGTGCAGTCAGGAACACAATGGGGATTGCCTGGAAATAACTTTATGATACACCAAGAGAAACAGGATTTCGGCCATTGTTTAAAATATTCAAACTAACAATGAACATTTTAATGTAGAAGCAGGAATTTTTCACAGTAGGCCCTATCATGGATTTTTACTTGCTCATAGAGTAGGTACAAGTGAACAACATCATGTCTCAACGTTTTGGCCTCTTGAGAGGTCCGATTAATCATTGACGCCGAAAACGGGGGTTCGAAATGGGATGGAACTCCTGATTTCTTAGAAGGTTGTTTGGTCTTTTTTCCTGAGTCGACGTCGAGATGTCGTCGACGTCGATGTCTGGGCGGCGACGCTGAAGAGAACGCCGAAGAAGAAGCATATACATATTGTTTGGTCTTTTTTCCTGAGTCGACGTCAATGTCTGGGCGGCGACGCTGAAGAGGACGCCGAAGAAGAAGCATATGCATATTTGACCTTCTTATTTATTTATTTATTTATATATATATACACCGCCCCATAGTGCTACAAGCACTCTCCGGGCGGTTCTTCTTCCGTCTGCGGTGACCACTCAACATCGAAGAGGAGTTCGTGTCTGAATAATCCCTTCGACGTCAACGTCGGTGTCTTTTGCGTCCGGACTCGACATAGTCGGAGTTGTAGTATTTGTCTCTATGTCAACGTCAGGAAGACAGAGGGACAACCACCACTTTGCACTGAGGAGATCAACGTCGATCTGGAGGTAGATGCTTTGTCTTGGTTGGACATTTTCGAGGTGGAGATTCCGGTTTCGAAACAGTTGATGGCGAAGATGGAGCCAATGATGCCTGCCCGGTAGAAACAGGGCTATTACGGGCAGAAGCCAAGTTCACAGTAGCATGTTGGCTTCGCGTTGGAGATTGAACATCGTCAGCACTAATAGGCTCGATCTGTCTCGGAGGGAGCGAAGTGGCTACCTCAGACAGTTATTCTCGGTCCTGAGATGAGTCTTCAAGGATTGGCGAAGGCAACAACGCCGAGACCGGGGGAATTTGTTTGTGATGATCCTTTGATTTAGTTGTTTTCAGCTTGGCTTGTTTCAGGTTCTTAACGGAGGAACTGGGAGCTGTCTTCGACACCGAAGCGGATGACTTTTTTGCTACAGCGGTCTTTTTAGCTGCCTTGTCCAAAGTTTTATTTGAAGGCAATTGAGGTGAGATATTTCTAACCTCAGAGCGAGGGGTCGCCAAGGAGATGGTGAAACCTCCATTTCAGATGGTTTTGAGGAAGACAGGGTCTTGTCCCACTAATAAAGTTTATGTCTCTGCTGTCTTGCTTTAAGAGCCGTCTTAATAAAGTTCTTGCAGTGCTTGCAGGAATGTGGCTGGTGGGATTCGTCTAAGCAAAAGAGACAGCGATCGTGACCATCCGAAAAAGGGAGCTTGCGGGAACACAAAACACAACGACTAAAGGGTCCAGAGTGGGACATAAGCAGGGTGAATATTGAAGTCTTACTGTTGTTGATTCAAACGAAAAACACAGATGAGGCCGCGTGGTGAGGCAAAAAAGAGCAGGAAAAATATCCGGAGGCAATCAGTTGAGAATGGAAGCAATTAGGATATCGAACAGTCCGTAGCAACAGATGATAGAATAGTCAAGGGAAGTCCGTGATCAAATACCGTAGTTGTAAAATTTAACAATTAGTAAGCTCAAGAATGAGAAGTTTCAGATCGGACGGTGGTAAAATGGAACTGAGGGCTGAGGTGGGTGGAGCATGCGCTATAGGGGCAACCTAAACTTTGTTACAGTGGGGTCTCGACTTAAGAACTTTATCCGTATTGGAAGGCAGTTCTCAGGTCGAAAAGTTCTTCAGTTGAATCTGCATTTCCCATAGGAATGCATTGAAAACCATTTAATCTGTATCTGCTCTTTTCGTCCATAGAAACTAATGGGAAGCTGCTATTCCGCCTTCTGCCACTAGAGGGGGGTATTTTTTCTTTTTTCCTTTTAACCTAAGAGGACTTAGCTTTAAAAAAAGGAAAAAAAGAGTTCGTAACTCAAAACTAGAATCTAAGTTCGTAAGTCGAGTCCATACATTCCTATGAGAGCGGTTCGTAAGTCGAAACGTTCGTATGTCGAGCCGTTCGTAAGTCGAGACCCTGCTGTACTTTTCTCCAAAAGCTTTGGAAAATTCCGAGAGGACCAGCGCAGGCACTGTCAAAACTCTATTATGTGCATTCACAGAGGCCACAATGCAGAACCTCTTTATTTGTATATATACAGTGGTGCCTCGCTTTACAAGCGCTCCGTTTGACGACGAAATCACATTACGTTGAAGATTTTGCTATCACAAAACTATGTTCCCTATGGGGGGAATTTTGCTTTGCAATGATCGTTTCCCTGTTTTGGTAACCGAACATCGCAAAGCGACGATTTTCGTCCAGCTGATCGGCGGTTTCAAAATGGCCGCCGGGTGAAAAACATGGCCGCCCGCTGTTTTCTGGCACGGATTCCTCGCTGCAAGAGCAGCGAAAATGGCCGCGCTATGGAGAATCTTTGCTGGACGGTGAGTTTTAAGCTCATAGGAACGCATTAATTGGGTTTTAATGCGTTTCTATGGGCTTTTTAAAATCACATCACGACGTTTTCGTTTGACAGCGATTTTTGTGGAATGAATTAATGTCGTCATGCGAAACACCACTGTACTCATACTGGTGCTACTGATACAGTTATACGAGGTGGTACTTTTTACTGTGCCATGTCTGACTTTAAAGCTCTAATTAAATACCTGTTATTACCTATAATGTTCCTTTGCATCATCTAGAGCGAGTTGTTTGAATTCTTCATACATTTTCTTGTTAAAGTGGTCTCTGAGGAAAAAGGACCAGAAACGGAAGAGTGTGTTCATTTCTTGTGACTGGCCAATTCCCAACCGTTTCCTTTCTGAAAAGGAAAGAGACAATAATAATAATACAAGACCTCTAGCACAGAAGCACAGGTTGCTTATGTGTAACTCTGGTCCTTCAGCTACGTAGTCCTCTGTCAGTTCACACCAATGGTTCTTTTTACACCTGCACAGACATCTTTGGAATATTCCAGAGCCTAAAAAGTCAGTTAACTCATATCCTTTTCACAATGCATATTCACCTGTAGCTAATCCTCAGTTCCCTCAGTACACTGCTGACAGAAACATGGATCTGCATGAGAGACTGAGAGGAGAATGGGTGGTTTGTGCTAATTCACATATGACCAAGGAACCATAGTTACAGGCAAGCAACCTGTGCTGTTTCTTTGTGGTCTTTGTGATTCACACCAATAAATGAATGACAAGTTCATTTACTGGCTGGTGGGAAGTTGCACTAATATAGAAGAGATCTCCTCTCTGCCAAAAGAAGTGTCACATTTAGCCCTGAAGTCAAACATTAAAGCTTGAGGAACATTGCCTTATTGCAGTTCTACAAATATTAGGGAGTTGTATTCCCTTCAGGAAGGCTGTAAACATAGCAACAGCTCTAGCTGAATGACCCACTGGTGTCTGAGGTACTGGCCTTTTTGCTAATTGTAAGATAGGGTAACAGACTTCTCTATCCACTTAAATAAGCATTGAGGAATAATTAGTTTGCTCTCTTCAGTTCCCTGATAACTAATGAACAGCTTATTGGACTTTCAAAATTGTCTCATTCATGAGTACAGAAAGCCAGGGCCCTCCTCACATCCAATGTATGACTTTTTCAGTTCTGAAGTTGGTGACAGAAAATAGGTAGGTAATAATAAGGGCTGATTATTATGGAAATCTGAATTACTTTTGGCAGAAAGGACAAGTTAGGAAAGAGTATCACTTTGTCTTTGTGGAACTGTAAGAAAGGTGGGTCTTACCTGAGCACACATAACTAAGCTGATGTTATTGTGACAAGAAACACAGGCAGTTAAGAGCACAGATTTTGAAATTAACTGATAGTGAATATGCTCGGTGACAAAGTCTTTTTGATTCAGGGAATTTCAACACTGAATGCCTGTAAAGTCTCTCCAATTGTGGCAAATTTAAATCTGGTATTCCATGGGCAATAGACCTATGAGAAACTGGTGCTGACATTTTTTAATGCACAGACTAACCTATGGAGAGAGCCAAGGTGCTAGCTCTCCCTGCACCCCCTGGTGTTCCAGGAAGAGTGGTGGGAAATGCTACACTGGGCCAGGATAAAAATGTGGCATGGTACCAAATTAGCAGGGCAGGAGATACATACCCTCTCTTGCTGCCCCTTGTGAGTAGTGCTACTTATGCAGCATTTTTTTGTTTTGGAGACGTCTCCTTCACTGTCAATGCAGAATGAGAAGGAGGAGGATGTAGTCAATCCAAATACTGCAGGGAGTTCCTCCTCTTGTGCAGCCCTAAGGGTCTCAAAGAATGGTGACTTAGGATTTACTGTGTTAGTTGGTTCCATTCCAGGTAGCAACTGAAAGCCAGTGAAGAGACCTGTGCTTGAGACATTTCTCCTCTGAAACAGACCCTAAACAAACCAAGTCCTTGTGTTTCTTGCCTTTGCAGGGAGCATTTCTGGGGTGAAGAGTGAGAAACCACTGTCTTATGAGTCTTAGGCTTCTGTTTTGTTTTTGTCTTTTTAATCTGGCTTGCGTCTGAATCAGCAGATTTTCTCTTCTTCTGAACTGAGAATGAGGTACTGAGGTTGGTACTGAGGTTGACTTTGGTATCAAGGCTGATTTTGATGTGGTCAGTCTGTCTTCAGAATCAAGGGCAGATGTCGGTTGGGCAGCTTCAGCTGTTTGGGACAGGAAATCTGCTGGGTTTTTTCTCTTTTTTTACTGAATTGCCTCCTTAAGAACTTGCTTGGGTTGCTTTTTACACATTGACACTGTAGAGACTGAGTTTGTTCTCTGTTTCAATATTCTATTGTTTGGAGGGATTTTTCCCAGAAGTAAAAAGCAGAGATTACTTATTCTTGATGGCTACTTTCATACATTTCTGACAAATTTGGCAGTTCTGAGTTTGGTGCCACTCACCCAAAAAATATAGGCACTTGGTGTCTCTGTTGGAGTGGGTCATTCTATTAGTGTAAGAAATATATGGTCTGCATGGGCTATAAAAGGTGGGAAAGGCCTCAAACACAATAGCAATAATTTCTTTTTAATACAGAAGACTCACGACAACTATGGGCAAAGAATGATGATGAACAAGGAATGAACAGACTACTTAAAACAGGCAAACTATTTACAGAAGTTGAAAAGGCTCCAGAAGGCTCCAAATATGTTACCTTAGCAGTGGCTTAAAGGGAACTGAAGATTAGTTACAGGGTGGACAGCAGGCACTGCACAGTGTGGTTTAACTGACATTTTATGCTCTGAAATGTTTCAAAGATGCCCATGCAGGTGCAGAAGAAACTCAATGGTGTGACTCACAGAGACCATGAAGAAGAATTTTAATTCCACTCTATGTGAAATATGCTGTATTCCATAAGCCATTTTTGATAGGAAGGGGCAGACCAAACAAAAAGTTGAAACTTTTGAACAGGTTGTTGTATTGGGGCCATACTTATTTATTTATTTACTTAACTTATATGCTGCCCACACTACCCGAAGGTATCTGACAAAGTAGTTGTACACAGTGTGGGCTTCCTCTCTACAAATTGTGAAAAAGTCTGGACAAGTACTAATAAAGTTCAGATTGTTGTTGTTGTTTTTTAAAGATGTTCTCTTTCCATGAAATGTTGCCACAATTTTTCATGGTATAAAGCCAGTTCTGTATTCATTTCTTAAAAGTCTACCTCTGTCTCCTAAAAGGAGAACATTTCCTCCTATATGCTTTTTTTTTATTTGAAGGCAATCTATCATATGTGGAAGATGTACATGCATTTTTACAATAAGAAATCTTTCAAAAACTCTAGCCACGTACTCTTGCCTGAATATTCTGTAGTAATTGTCCAAAACGTTTGCCAGTAATTGAGGAAACTATGCCTTACTGAGATGAACTGAGCTTACTTCTGGGCAAGGGAGTAGATTAGGATTGAAGCCTTATCATAAGAATAAAGTTTACTGAATGAATGTGCATACACACATACATATATACACACACAGGAGCCTCAGGCAGCAATAATGGCAGAGGAGCTATAGGGTGTGTGTGTGTGTGAGAGAGAGAGGAACTTCTCTGTAAAGCTGCAGCAGTCTGAAGCAAGTTGTTGTTTAGTCGTTTAGTCGTGTCCTACTCTTCGTGACCCCATGACTAGAGCACGCCAGGCCCTCCTGTCTTCCACTGCCTCCCGGAGTTGGTTCAAAAAGCAAGTACCCTTCCCTATTTCACAAGCAGATGAAGATGGGGAAAGAGAGCAATAAATACCTAGAGAACTAGTTGAAAAGCAACTGTTTTATGTTTGGGTGGAAAGTAGCAAGCTTATGAAAAAATACCTAGAGAACTAGTTGAAAAGCAACTGCTTTATGTTTGGATGGAAAGTAGCAAGCTTATGAAAAAAAGGACTCAAATTGTGGATTTTCCTTTGTGTCTCTCTCTGTGAATAATAGTGAGAGCAAAAGGGATCATATATATCACCATGACACTACTGTGAACATTCAGGCTGGCCTTCACTATGTAAAGTTTGGCATTCTTTTTTCTGCTGGCATGTGCATGACATTGCAATATCAGGACATTTTCTGGTGTTCTGAATCATGAACACTGAAGCAACATCCTGTATTCATAAAGAATTCATTGAAGAACTAATTACACTGAAAGCTATCACTTCCATCTAAGACAGTAGTTCTCAACCTTGGGTAACCCAGGTGTTCTTGAACGGCAACTCCCAAAAACCCTGGCCAGCACAATTTCAAAACATACAGTTAAGGCTTCAATGCAAAACATCAATGAACTTCAGACAATGCCAGGACACTTCCATATATTCACTCATCTTGCCACTTCATATATTTTATGAGCAATTATTCAGTTCAAAATATATAATCCTTCTTTTTCATATTGTTCCTAGCTCAGCAAGCAGAAAAAGCAAAGCTCATGTCAATCTATGCACTATCAAACTATCATAGAAACTAGTACACATTGGCTGGAATCCCACTGCCAATTTACTGGCTATAGTCATTATTAAGAAGAACAATGTGGTACAGGCTTCATGCTTATTTCCAGATAATCACAGCAAACACTATATTTTTACCATTTAGGCACCTGCGACGATATTTGTGATACACTTGCTGTGTAAATCCATTTTCTTTCAGCAGCTCGTGAGATGGATGCTGAAATTTGGGAAGCGAATTAGGGGTACACCCATAACTTCCCGACAGAGGAGCACCTTCCAATGGTGATGCACTTGAACTGCTAGAGAAAACAAAACAAGTCTCTTAGCTTTCCCCAATACTTTTTTTATGATATAAGTAATTCTGCAATATACATTAACAATGTATAAGCTAAGTTTGATTTCTAACACTGATACTCATAGGTTATTTCAGAGTTTTTAACATGCTGATAACAAGCATGTGGTGCCTCCTTCCAGAAACTGTACTGTCTTCAAAAGGCAGATGCATATATTAACTCTAGGAGAAAAGATGTCAGCAAATCATACAAAGTACCGTATTTTTCACTCCATAAGACACACCTTTCCATAACACGCACCAATATTTTAGGAGAAGAAAACAGGAAAATATAATCTGTTTTCTTCGCTCCATAAGACGCACAGACTTTCCACTCCCCCTGTTTTGTGGGAAAAAAGTGCGTCTTATGGTGCGAAAAATAAGGTAAATAAAAGAAGCATATAAATATCTATGCCAACAGCTGTAGGAGTGTAGAAAATTACTGTGTAAGAAGAAGGTTGATTTTTAAAAATTAGCTTTATACATACAGGCAATCAGAGATATGGTGAAAAATTAAAATATGCAAAATATTGTGTCACATCAAAAACTAAGACACTCATTTTCGTGTGATCCTTTATGGATCAAAATTCAAATAAATCAGTTAGCGGTATTCTCAAAGGCTTTCATGGCTGGGATTTGATGGTTGTTGTGGGTCTTCCTAGTTCTTTGTCTGAATGCTCAGAACACGGCCAAAGAACCTGAAAAGCCCACAACAACCAAAAAAATCAGTTAGCCTTTAAAGTGTTAGTATTTTGCCCTTTCTCTCTCGTTTACCCCCGTTAATTTTGCTAACATACAGAGACAGACTAACACAACTACTTTTTTTGAAACTACAGTTTGCACTGTTGTTGCCTGTGTTCTATTATAGTATATTCCTGGAAAGGTAGCACCACATTTGTTTCTTTAAGCATCTGAAATCTGCTTTCATTTTACAAAGCTATGGTTTTAATATAGTGCAGGCAAAACAAAAGAAACAAATACATTTTAGCATATCAGAAGAACGGAGATCTACATTTGCACACCTTTCTACTGTGTCATTGTCATGCCAAATTCCTTATTAGGGTCCACTCCACTGCAAATGCTCTCACACAATATATATTGCACATTTGAGAATAACTTTCTAGCTTCTATTTACAAAAATAGGTTTGTATGAGAGATGAATTCTATCGATGAATTCTCAAATCTGTAATTATATATTCTGTTCCAGATATAAGCTATTAATTCTTTTTCTGTAAGAATATCCCTTACATTTTTTTCGGAAAACTTGAATATGTCCTACTTTGACGAACAAAATCTACCAAGACAACACTTTTAGATTAGGCATCTTTCAGTCTCAAGAGACTATAGTAACGTGCTCTGTATCGAGGACTTGGAACAGAGTCTAGTGTGGCTAAGAAGGACAATTAGAGAGTGACAATCCCTTCCACACTGAAGACAAATACGATCTGTCCCCTGTCCAGTTCTCTGATTTTGCTGATTTCGGGACTGCCTCTTTGCCTCAGCCTGCAGAACAAGGGTCTCTTCAAATTGGGAGAGGCCGTGATGCATCGCCTGCCTCCAGGCTGAACGCTCAGATGTCAAGGTTTCCCAAGACAACGCTAACAATTAATCAAAGAAGTAATTTCACATGAAAATACAATCCTAATGCAAGACCAATAATGTAAAATGTATCATAAAATAGTTTGGCATCATCTATATGTAGTTTGTAAGATTATGTTTCTACAGTTTTTCTATCAAAGTTGCTTTGTATAGACAGGGCTACTCTGTACGCTAGCCATACTTAAATTCCATTGATTTCAATAGCTCTGAAAATACATGTTTTACTAAGGATGAATCCAATCCATTCTATGCTGAGAGATTCTTATTCTGTTCATTTATGTGGAATGTACTAACAAGAAAGCCTGCAGCATATTACTGGCAATACCCACACAAAGCATGAAGTTAACTTTTCCAGAGGCTAGCTACAGCAACAATTGTTTTTAAAAAAAACATAGGGCACTTTAAAGACTTCATTTGCAGCCTGCAGCCCACGAAAACGTATGCCAGGTAGTCTTTAAGGGGCTGCAGGATTCCATTAAGTTAATATGCAGTCTCCAGATATTGTTTGACTTCAATTCCCCAACCAGAAAGATCAGTTCTCGGGTGGTGATGGGAGAAAGAGTTCGACACAAGGCAGGCATTTCTAGTCCTATAAAGACCCTTCATAATTATGTGTTTATGTGTATACATATACAGACAGGTTTTTCCTTTTCTTTCAGCTACTGCTCATGTATAGTTTCTTGAAAAAAGTGACTATAACTGCAAACATGCAAGATAAAAATTAACTGTATACAAAACAGCTTTTCATGAGATACTTCTGGTTTGTCCTTAGTTTCTTCCTGTTTCATTTTTTCCCATGAAGTAAAACAATAATTCTCTCACTTACTCTACAACTTCCACTACATCCACAGAAAAACTGCTGTTACCTTACAGAAGATGTTCTTGGCCTGTGATCCTTAGAATCCATTACCCAACCAACATGACTTTCTAATGGAGGGTTTGTACTATGTCTTGTTTTTCTTTTCCGTCGTGTCTAAAACAAAGTATAACATTATATTTTCCTCATGTGAGTGGAGGCACTTTTCTGAAGACTCACAAGCCTAATTAAAGTCAAGTTTCAAAAATTTCACAGTGTACATCACAAGCATTATGAGGTCACATAGCTATGCATGATTGCCCAACTGAACAGCCTTAACTAAAAACAAGCAATAGAAGTATCTATGTATTTAGTAGTTCTGAACAAATGGTTATTTCCTACATCCAAAGAACAAATATGAAAGAGCAGAAGATTTAAAGAATATGTGATTCAAAAGCAAGACACTCTACTGCTAAAAAAAGGTACGCTATTAGATCAACAGATATTTTCACAATATTTTTCATTACCTTAACATCAATAGATCTTGCTTCTTTAACTACAGGATAGAATCTAGGTGTTTTATTGGGATCTTGTAGTCTCGGTGTACGAGGCGTTTTAGGTGTTCTGGCAGGGTGGATTCTAGGAGATTCAGGAACAGCTGTTGGTAATGAACAAGCCATAGCTGTTGGAAGTAAGGGAGCCATTGTTGTTGATACCATTTCTTGGACACTAAACAATTTACAAGCCAGTTCTTCAGCTACATCTAAAAAGAAAGACCAAAGGATTGAGAAACATTATACATCTTGATTTCAGTTCCCGTAGTTTGCATGAAACTTGTTATATGCAAACTGGACGTGAGGCAGAAATAGGAGATCTTTAACTACAGAGAATCTACTATTGCCAGCGATGGCACCATCCTTTTGTGGGCATAACCTAATGCAGCAAGATCTGGATCATTCTTGTTATGCTAAAGTAAATTATAAATACAGTAGGCCTATTTGAATATAGTGAATTTAAGAAGAGACGACTCACCAAGTCCCCACTGATTCAGTAGGCCTACTCTAGTATGACTTACTACATTAAGCAACAGGGTTTCAGTTAATGGTTGCTTTCCCGTCCCTCCCCTCGAAAGAGAGAAAGTTCACTGGAGAGCTTAAGCAATGTTATGTGACACAGTCTCATGTCCAATATTTAATATTGTGGCCTCTTACTAGGAAGCCCCTGAGATGCAACTGTGTAGAAGACGCCATCCAAATCTCACCATGATCATGCACCAAATTCTAACAGACCATCCTGAATTTCTCTTATGTGTCTTCCAACTGCCTAGACTCTGCAACATGATCATTTTTCAAAATATGTATATTTATTCCTCCAGACAGCACACATATTCATTTTCCACCTCAAGGACAGGTATTTCTTTAACAAATAATTACAAACCTTTGTTTCAAGAATGTCAACATCTTAAATTATCAGCAACTATTCATAACTTTAATAAGAGAGGCATAGCCAAAATGTATACTATAGACAAGAAAAGCAGTGTGAAGTCTAAAAGGTCACCAGCCTGGCTAACAAGCAATGTGAATGAAGCTCGACATCTTGCCAAAATTAAATGAATCCAAAAGAACAGAAGTTGTAAAAAAGGAAACGTACGCAGACAATAATAATAATAACTGTTTGTTGTCAAGTCAATTTTGACTTATCACAACCCCTTCCAGGGTTTTCTAGGTAAAGAATACACATAAGTATATTATTCCCTTCTTCCGGGGGTTTTCTGGAAAGACAATAAAGTGTGCACAATCAGATGTAAGGAAGTACAGTGGTGCCTTGCTCAACGACAATAATCCATTCCAGGAAAATCGCCGTTAAGCGAAAACATCTTAAAATGAACTTAAAAACCACATTGAAACGCATTGAAACCTGTTCAATGCATTCCAATGGAGTAAAAACTCACCGTCCAACAAAGATCCTCCATACGGCGGCCATTTTCGCTGCCTGTATAGCAAGGAATCCGTCCCTAAACACAGCGGGGAGCCATTTTAAGCCCCCGTGGCCATTTTGAAACCCCGACGATCAGCTGTTTTGATCGTCGTAATGTGAAGAATCGGTTCCCGAAGCAGGGAATCGATCTTCGCAAAGCGAAAAAAACCCATTTAGACCATTGTTTTACGATTGCAATTGCGATTGCAAAAAGATCGTCATAAAGCGATTTCGTCGTAATGCGGAGCAACTGTTAAGCGAGGCACCACTGTATCACTAACAGTATCAACACCAGTAATAAAGAATTTTCTTTGCTGCAGTAAATACTGGGTAGGTAACTAAGCCGGAAATGTTTTAATGAGAGAAAAATGAGTGAGGCTTTTTTCCATGGCTATCATTCAAAAGAATCCTGGCCTGTTTCTAGAGAGTAAAAATATCTACTGTAAACTATTTTGATTTTTAAAGCTATCCGTTATTAACATTCACGGTTGTGAGAAAATAGCAATTCTGAAACTGAAAATCTGGTTTAAAGATTTAAGTCAATCCATTATGTTCTCTGTTCAAAGTAGCAGAATTCTGTTGCTCTTATGAACTATACATTTCTACAATTTATTTAATGTCTTTTTACCAATGAGCTCGAGGCTGTATATATGCCTCTATTTCTCCTCACTTCATACAACTTCTTAAAAGGCTTATTATATACATATGCATACATATTTGCATAATTCGTCAAACAGTTTCCAATGGGGGAGAAAAAAATTCACCAAAAATTAACAGAGTCAGATCAAAGCCAAATTAAGTTTGCACACGTTTAGAAGGTGCACTAACGATTCCAAGCATTTAAAACCGTTTTTGAACCTTTTAAGACACACTTAAAATTGCAAAAACAGACATTGCAAAACTATTGGAATGCATTGAAAAGGTTTCAATGCATTCCAATGGGGGAAACATTGTATCACTTAGCGATGTTTCCTATGGGGATTTTCGCTTAAGGACGGCAATCCGTTCCCATTGGAACGGATTAACCAGTTTTCAATGCATTCCTATGGGAAATGGTGTTACACTTAGCGATGTTTCCCCATAGCGATGTTTTTTTTGGAACCAATTAACATTGTTAAGTGAGGCACCACTGTACAGTGGTGCCCCGCTTGACAACGATAATCCATTCCAGGAAAATTGCTGTTAAGCAAAATCGTCAAGTGGGGAAAAAAACCCCATTGGAATGCATTGAAAACCGGTTAATCCGTTCCAATGGGGAAATACCTCATCATCCAGCAAAGACTGCCCATAGAGAACCACCGATCAGCTGTTTAAAATCGCTGTCTTCCGAAGCAGGGGTCCGGAAAACAGCCATTTTGCAAAGGGAAGCCAGCCATTTTGCAAAGGGAAGCCATTTTGCGGAGCCGGAAAAAACATCATTATGTGAACAAATGGTTTGCGAAGCAGGGATCTAATCAATGTAAAGCAAAAAAAAAACCCATAGGAACCCTTGTTTTGCGATCGCAAAAATCTCATCGTCAAGCGATTTAGTCATCAAGCGGGGTCATTGTCAAGCGGGGTACCACTGTAAATCCTCATAAAGCCCCTTTCCCATTCCCCACCTCTTCCCCCCCCCCACTTTTTTATATTTTTGTTTCTTCCTTTTCCTGTTCAGTATGTCTTTTTTGTATTTGAAACTTAGTAAAATAATTTTAAAAAACCCAGCCTTTCCCAACACACAATCCTTCACATTCACTGGACTACAAACCCCATTGGCCCCACGTAGCATGACAAATAGTCAAGGATTATGTCAAAATATTAGTTGGGCAAAGACTGGGAAAAGACAATGAAAGGAAAATTGAGCCAGGAAATTACTACATAACCCCACTCCGAAAACAACTATTTTGCTGTGATTTCATTAAATTCAATGACTTACCATTTTTGTGATATCTTGTTTATTGATATCTCTTCTGAGATATCAATAAACATTTCAAACACATTTTCTAGGCATAATTACTCAGGCAGACAAGTCACATAGTTCTTTAATATAGAAAGGTCATTGTAACTGAATTTATAAATGTAATCACAGAGTGTTCAATCAGACTGCACATTATGTGTCACTTCCCCACTTAAATGGGGACACAGAAGACACTCGCTTAAAGAATGTTTATACATTTGGGCATCCCCAGAGCAATATCTCTGTCAACTGATCCTACTACCCTAGGAGCAATATTGTAAAGCAACTTACTGCACATACACCATAGCTTTAATAGGACTCCTTTGGTACAATTGTGGATATCTACCTTGCTGAGATCTTGAAGGACTAGGAGGAACTTCCTGATCTGGACCAATTACAGCCTCTGGTATAAGACTCTCAAATTCTTCTTTACTAATGAGATTTAATTTCTTAAAGTTTTCAACTTCTTGCTGAAATGGAAACAGAAACTTATGTAACAATCACTCCTAACTGCAGTCCTCTAGAATTGCAAGGATGAGCTTACATCCAACCTCACATTATCCACATGACATAATTTTTCCTCCTCTTCTTTCACCAGTGAACCCTCTATACTGCCCAAAGATGGGTCTGAAGACTATCCTAATCTGTCCAGATCTGGTTTTGGGGGGCACAGGAGCTGCTATGTGAGGGGCCTCCACCCCTTTATTTTTCCATTGACAAAAACAATTCCATTAGCACACTTAATCCTGGTAATAATGCCTCACATAAATAGGCTACGTAAATATAAACCATTTGATGAATCATCACAAGCAAGCAAAATGTAAGTCAGTCATGTAAGTAACAATGCTTTTTGCTCAGTTGGTGCAAAAGAGTACAGTGGTGCCTCGCATTGCAACATTAATTCGTTCCGCAAAAATCGCTGTTGAACGAAAACATCGCTATGCGATATTAAAAAGCCCATAGAAACGCATTAAAACCTGATTAATGCGTTCCTAGGGGCTTTAAACTCACCGTTCAGCGAAGATCCTCCATAGCGTGGTCATTTTCGGTGCCTTTTAAGTGAGGAATCCGTCCCAGAAAACAGCGGGCAGCCATTTTGTTTACCCAGTGGCCATTTTGAAACCGCCGATCAGCTGTGTGAAAATGGTCGCTTTGCGATGATCGGTTCCCGAAGCAGGGAACCGATCATCGCAAAGCGAGATTCCTCCATAGGGAACATTGCAAAGCGATCGCTTTTGCAATCGCAAAAAGTTTGTCGCAAAGCGATTTCGTCGCTAAACGGAACGCTCGCTAAGCGAGGCACCACTGTATCCAGTTTGGGAAAATGAAGTGTGTTAAGGCATTGGGTGAAATAAACTTCTCTTTTCATCTGATGGAAGTAAGATCTTCAGCACTCTCCTCCAAGAGCTGTCTCTGCAAATGCATAGGTGTCTTGATCAATATAGTTTGAAAATGTTCGGTGACAACAAGCTGGCAGCCCTGGTGAGAGGGTGCTAAGATGTCTGGAACAAGAATATGTTTGCCCTTGCACATTTATGAAATGTATACCTTAACTCTATCAAGCTATGGTACAGGTGGATAAAATATTCACCATGCAAGCAGTATAAAATGAGAAAGCCTTTCTGATTTTCTACAAGCAGATGCCAGCTCCTTTTAGAACTTGAGAAGAATTTTCATGACGACCAGGAAGTATAAAGGCTATCTGAAGGACAACTGACATTACCAAACAATTTCTTTTGCTTTCTTTGCTAGAAACCTGAAGAACATTACTATCTTGCAACTTATGGAAGAAATTGCTGTTGATACAACCAAAGTGTTTTGAATACAGATTAGTGGAAATTTCTAACAGGACAGCTCAATGTCCTGGTGGCTGATCTGTTTTGTTACATCCACCCAAGTATAATAAAACACTGACTTTGGTCCAAGCCTGTAAATCTGGATGTTGGAAGCAAGGCTCGGTTCTCCCTTATCTACTGAGATAAGGGAGAACCAGGTACTTTGAAGTGGTACTTTGTATTCTGTTAAGGATCGGGACTTGGTGTGTCAAATGTGGCATGGCTAGCTGGATCACATGGAGTACCAGACAACTAATACTGTGTTCGAAATAATACTCAGCTGATTACACACCATATATAAAATAATTCTATTTTATTCTAAATAGAACAAAGCAACAATAAAAACAGTATCAACACTCGATTCACAAATCCCAAAACTTTAGTATATTTTCATCCAATGTATTCGCGAAGGCTTTCACGGCCGGGATCTAATGGTTGTTGTGGGTTTTTCGGGCTCTTTGGCTGTGTTATGTAGACTGCATAATTAACTTGTAAATCGCCCAGAGAGTGCTTGAAGCACTATGGGGCGGTATATAAGCAGCATGCTTTTTCTTCCTAACATTTCGCCAGTCTCTGTGGCCGGCATCTTCAGAGGATAGCCCTGAACAACCTTCAGAACACGGCCAAAGAGCCCCAAAAACCCACAACAACTATTTTCATCCACTTAAGCAAATGTTCTCTGGAAAGAGTTATGGCAACAAACCTAGTCATCAAATCATATTCTGTTCAACAGCTTAAATGCATAATTTACCTTCATAGCAACACAGTCATTTTCTGTCTGCTCCATCCACAAATCCTGTTCATAATAGTATAAACCATCATTAATAACTTTGGCAAGTTCTGATGTAATTTTTGCCCGTGAAACATGGTTACCAGTGCGATCACCTCCAGGATGTTTTCTCATATATGGCGGTGTCTGTGTTACAATCAGAATCTTATTTAAGTCCTGATCATCAATTTCATAATCTGAATCACTATCTGACCATTCTGTGAATTTATTTTTTCTGCCGTCTATTTGTTCCATCTCTTCATCAAACAAAAAATCAAGTTCTTCCTGTTCTTGTTCTTCTGAAGGCAGTGGCTGCTGCTGCACCATTTCCTCAAGTGTAGGTACCAATTCCTGAAAATGTTTAAAGTGTTTTATATTTTCAGTGAATCAAAGACACGAGCTAATTCATTATTTTTGAATTATAGTTGAGACAGTATCTAAATGCAAGGAAGTTTAATGGAATGATTAATAGCAGGAATAACAGATTTAGCAACTAAGTCACTAAGTCATACAAAATAGAACAAAGGGAGCCACAAATGATCATTTACACTTCTTACTCATTCAGTATGTATTTTAGGTTTAAAACTGAATTCAAACAATAACGCTTGCACGGCTGCATAATAACCAAAATTCAGAGAGTAGCAAGACATTTTAATGATCAAAAGGAGATCTTATTTTTACTAATTTCAGCAAACATCTGCACAGAAGGATTCAACACCACTGGAATTTAGTACAAGACATTTTAGGATGTGATAAAAAATTAATGTGTGTGTATAAACAAACCAGAAACATTAATTGGCTGGTCCATACCAATATGACCAGCCAATTAATGTTTCTGAGTACACCTAGTCTGACTAGGTGGGGCTCATCAGCCATGGAACGCAGCCCATCTAGGAGAAGGAAAACTCTGATTTCAAACCTCCACTGCCTTGTGGCTATATCCACTCGTGGAAAAGGCTTCAGGAGTTAACCTCGAGGCAAAATCCGGAGCTGGAGTCCCGAAGGCAGTTCGTTTCGTTCTGCCAACTCCTGCGACGTTGCTGGAACCAATTGTATTGGCTCTTGCCTTTCCATTGGACCACTTCAGCAATGTGGAGAGGGGGGATTTGCTGCTTGGGTAACAGCCTATCCTCCTTATTACTTTACCCAGGCTTCATGCCCTGGAGAGGACATTCCTCAATTCAGAGCATGTTACCATGGTCTCTCGAGACTGAAGGATGCCTATGATGATGATGAATGTTTCTGGCTCATATCTGAGCCAACTAGCCTTTTGGGCTGGAGCTTTAGAACACCTCTTATTTGTCTGAAGAACTCTCTTTGTTCTTCAGAGAGAGTAAAATTATTTGCCACTTTTCTACCCACAGTATTCACTAAATGTCCCTGTAGAAAAAAAGTGTGTGGGCAAGACCCAGAGATCCCTTATAAGAAGGACAGCTTAACACTTACATAACATGTGTATGAATAGGACACTTTGGTCAGTCATTTTGAAGAATGTGGTCATGTTAGTGTTGATTTAACATTTAAGGAAGGAGAGTAAAATGCAAGAAAGGCTTCTGCCGAAATAAGGTATCTTATGGATTCTCAGATAGAACAGTTTATTCCCCCTGGGGGAGGGAGGTCTTAATGAAGACTTGAAATATATTATATTTGTTAAGTTGATATCCTCATCAATGGTATATTATAGTATAAGAATTTTTCTGTGTTAAGGTCTACATGCATGCTCAGTAAGCAAAGTTCACATCAATCTAAACAGAGACATATGAGTTAAAGAGGGTTTTCAAATGACTAAAGGACCCTAAGGAATATCTTTGCACAAGACCTTTTGTCCTCAACTGAATAAATATACCTGGATGCAGACAGGCTGGAAAGGGATGAAGGAGAAGGGCAACTTTCAGGTACCACTGCAGAAGGGCACTGCTGACTTTTGTCTAGGGGACTTTCTTCTCCCACGAGAGCTTCCAAAGTCTGCCTGAGGTCTAGGAGCCCCTTTACCCGCCCACAACCTACAAACTCTTGGGGCTCTAATGCTGGCCTTCCTCTATCTCTTCCCACCAACTTCTCTTCCTTTGTGAATATTTTGGTTTTTAAGCTCCAAGACTGAATGCAGATCTCATTAAAATAAATAAAGAGAAATAACATGAGACTAAGCAAATATTCTCACTCATCAAAACTGTCTGACTCATAAAATAAGCCCTCACATGAGAGGGGGGAAATCAAAGCACAGTCTCCACTGAATCAAAACAGTCACCTGAATTACCTTATCTTTCCTTAGGCTGCAAAAAAGAGCTGGAAATACTACATGCATTTTATTTCAAAAATATAGTATTTAGGCCACCTTGCAATACCTTTGGTTTGGCTGGGGATGGACGATGTCTTTTTTTTACTTCTATCCATGGTTCAGAGTCCAGATCTGGCAGACTTGTTGATAATCCTTTGCACATTGTTTGAAGGCTATTTGTTTCAGTGCTTTTCTTAGTACTCTGACTTCCCATTCTTGGAGAGCTTGGTGCAGATTCTACAATTGAGAAAATTTACCAGATTGATCTCCCAGTTCCCATTCTTTCTAGAACAAAACTGGAGGAAGATTAATTGATGGAATTGGAATTAAGTTCAAAATTCAGATACTACAGTACTAAGAGTAGCATATGTTTAATCTCTCGCATAAGAAAGTTACATTTATGTCATCATTCAGCAAAGGCTGAAAAATTTAACTTCACAGTTTGGCAGAAAAGAGGAAAAGAAAAGCATCTTACCAGTATGTGAACCAAATGCTTTGCCTGGTACAAATTCCGGGCAATTGATAAGCTGGGAAAAGTCAGTTTGTGGAAGACTGCTTGAAGAAGGTCCTGGAATTGGCCATTTTTCTGGCTCTACCCTTTTCCTCATCTTCTGATCTACAATTTCTACTTCTGTACTGTCCTTTAAGGCCTAGACAATACAAGTAAATGTTATTAATATAGCTTAACTCAAGTAAACTATAATGCCACTTAATAGTAGGTATTTAGTTTTAAAGAGTTGTTTCATAAAATTAGATCTTTTTCAAACATAAAAGAGAAATATTTTAGAATACTGGGAAATCAGCTGAACAGCCCATGAACAAAAAAAAATGTCCTTCATGTGACACTTTTCATTGTTCCTCTCTAAATCCTGCAGGAGTATGGAAAAACACTTTACTTCCAGTCAGAAATTAGCAAGATTCCTATGAACCATCACTACACTTCACTCTGTATCTTACATTTGCTGTATGTATGTTTTGTTCAATTTATTTTTAAATAAAATTTGTAACAGTTTCCGTTATTCATACTTTGTATGGTTAACAGCCAGAAGGGACTATTCTTTACTTTCTGATAAAGAATTACTAAAGCATTCGGTTTTCTTCCTCTTTCTTTTTTTTAACCTTTCCCAACAGAGTAATTTAAAATATCATCTTCAGTTTAAAAAAGCTTCCCACTCAGACAAATTTTCATTAGCAACTGAGGTACCCAGAATGTATTAATGTACTTTATACAGCCTAGTTTATACTGATGTTACTTCAGCATCTTCTAACATTAAATGTAATAGTAGCTAAAATGTGAGAACTGAGGTACCAAAAAGACAGCTAAAAATAATAATCCAGTCTAATTCATTATTCTGCCACTAATGTTTCAGCATTTAAAATGCAATGGAAAGCCAACATTGAAATATTTTGCTGAACTGCACTTTCTCTGATTCAAGTTCATTAAAAAATTGTACTAGCAAAACTTATATTACTCTCTATAAGAAACTAAATTTACCTCTAATATTAGGTTAACATTTGTAGTAAGAGCCTGGACTCGGTGGAAGCTGGCAATCAAAGAAATCGGCAAGAATCCTCGCTGGTCCATCTTTCTCCTCAAGAAGAAGTCCCTTTCCAAGTTTTCTATACTGAAATAATACTCACTGAAGACAGAAGAATGTTTAGATTAGCTTACTATATACTTTTCTAAACTACCACCACCCTTCATTAAAGCTGACTTACTGAATTCATTCACAGTAAATCTTGATCTTTACAATTCATTAGCTTCAAGGATAAATGATTTGCTGTGGTGTAGGATAAGAAGCAGTTAAAGTTATCTAATATGGGAACCACTATAACAAATCATTTGAAGAGGACAAACAACCACAGAATATATAATTTGAGCATATTCAAGTAATTTATAATATTATATAGTAACAAAAGATTTGAGCCAAAATAATTATGCTTTTTATTAATAGCTAATGAGCTGCATAGTTGGATAAACAGACATGGTACATTGATTGCATCACTGTTTTACATACTGTGAGACTGAGGGTAACAACCAAGGCGTTACACAGAGTGCACCATCTGTCTCTCGTAATAAGGAGAGGGGAGAGGAGATAGACACACTGATAGAAGGGGTGGGACAGTTAAAGTGTGAAGGGAGAAACAGGAGGAGGAGGAACTGAGGTGGGAAAAGAAGAGGAAGAACGTTGTTGGGCACAGGAGGAGAGGGGAAAGGCACAAGGTGACTTGGTAGAGTTGGTGGAGGAGGATCCGTGGACGAGAGAATGGGTTGAGTTCAAAGTACCAAGGGAATATTCTGAAAGAGAGTGGAGAAAAAAAAGGTATACGGGAAACCACCATACTGAGGGGAGACAGAAGAAAGAAAAGAATATAAAGTACGGCTGGAAAGAGAGGTACAGAGACAGGAGAACAGGAGATGTTCGGAAACTCCTGGGAGATCCCATAGGAACAGTCCATTCCGACCACCACAGAGACTAAACAAAAGCATGAAAGTTTGGGAGCCACAGGCAGCATAAGTTTACGACCCACAACAATGACATTTCTCAATGCTTCATACATTGGGCTACAGTCCTAAATGGAACCAAGAAGTTATGGGTTCATCTCATGATTAAAGAGGATTATTCTGGTTATGAAACTGTTAAAACTTGTGAGTTGTTGATAAAGCCTGAAACGCAAGATATGAACAAAACTGAACCAGTCAACTTGCTAGTGAATACGAGGGGGTGCTGATAAGTACTGAGCCTTTCCCAGAAAAAATTGAGCTAGGAAGCTATAAACTGCAGGGTGTACTGGCCAATTGGTCTGCATTCAATGGTGCAAAAATCAACTACCTATGATTTTAACTTATCTTTCATGTTCAGGTCCAAAGTGAACATGGCAGCACCTCTAGAAAAGTT